GAGTTTAAAAATCAAAAGTCAAAATGCAATAAAAACTAACTATAATGAAAAGTCCCAAACTATTATAACCCTGCAATGGTCACATTTTTATTTATATTAAGTGTATAGAAAAAAAAATGTGGATCCACAGACTCAAATAAACACACTCAGTTTATGTTAGTTTACCCCATTGGTGTGTCTCAGCTGGACACTACTATTATACTCCACAGTCTCTACTTTGCTGCGGCAGTCAATTTTTTTGCTACCCTCAGGCTCTTCTTGAATAAAATCTCTCAGCACTTTGGCCAAAAGCCACATGCTGAGTACATTCAGTAGTACAACCAGTGATGTAGCCGAAACAACACTTTTAACCAAGGTCCCAAGATATCACGCTGGTAAAGCATTGAATATTAAAAGAGCCTACTTTTACATAGAGTCTGCGGTTTGAGTACCAATTGATAATTTTTATTTTTATCACACTCATTTTTCTTTCGTGCAATCTGACAGATTTGTTGTCAAGTTTATGTGTTGTCTTTTAGTATAGATTCAGGGTTGAAAGTAAGAGTTGTGTGCAGTTTTGATGTCTGTTGCAGATGTGGCTGCCTTTGATTCGGAGCTCGACTGTGATTAAACCCTCAAATTTTAGACCGAGCAATTTAAGCCACTGCATAATGATGTGTGTGTGTGTGTGTGTGTGTGTGTGTGTGTGTGTGTGTGTGTGTGTGTGTGTGTGTGTGTGTGTGTGTGTGTGTGTTGCATTGTTTACCTTTGTTATTTGTTCGGTGAAACTAACATTTTCGTATCAGTGATGTAAGAGCAGTTTCCTTGCAACTACTGTAAATCTGCATTGTACAAAATTGACAGCCGCAAAGCCACCACGATAAAGGCATGAGTTCATATAAGACAAATGCAGATATTTAAATATTCATATTATCATTCCCGTGATTGGGACAATCAGCCCCTAATGTTGTCATTGTTAAGAAAAAACAATTATTCAACATTTTCTAATTGTTTTGATCTCCCACGTCTCCACACACTCATTTGCATGTGCTGAATTATACATGGAGTGTGTGACAAACATGTGCACTTCCTCATAATTAGAAGGAATTATTTATATCATGCTGTGCTCACCACCATTTGTTGAATCCAGCAGGTACAAAAAGATGAAGTTCAAGGACACCTTAACTTGTCTGGCAGCTACCTACTTGTTACTTGGGCAAACATTCATCATTTAAGCATATAATCACACCTAGTCTAATCCCTCGTCATTACAGACCGGTCATTGGATGAGCAATCTGCATCACCATGTATGTGGCAAGTCATCAGTTTTACACGTCAGATAGTTTACTGCAATGTATCATTTTGCAGATAAGCAAATATTTTTAATGAAGTCATTATTATTGCACACTGGCAAAAATAATGAATACATTCTTTTAATATCCATCCATCCATCCATTTTTTAAAATCCGTTTATCCTCACGAGCATTGCAGGCATGCTGGAGCCAGCTGTCTTTGGGCAGTAGGCGGGGTACACCCTGAATTGGTTGCCAGTCAATCGCAGGGCACACAGAGACGAACAACTATCCACGCGCACTCTCACACCTAGGGACAATCTACACTAGTGTCCCATTAACCTGCCATGCATGTCCTTGGAATGTGGGAGGAAACCGACTTTTGATTTTTCTGCCATTTTTACAGGGACAGTTTTTGCTATGGGCACAATCTATTAGACGGTGCACGCCACGCCCTCCCCTGCCTCCCCACCCCACCCCACCCCGCCCAAAACAACATCCGTCCATCCATTATTTGATCCGCTTATCCTCACAAGGGCCGTGGGGCGTGCTGAATCTTATCCCAGCTGTCATCGGGCAGTAGGCAGGGTACACCCTGAAAACTGGTTGGCAGCCAGTCGCAGGGCACACACAGACAAACAACCATTTGCATTCAGAATCACACCTAGGGACAATTTGGAGTGCTCAATCAACCTGCTATGCATGTTTTTGGAATGTGGGTGGGAAGCGGAGTACCCGGAGAAAACCTAGGCAATGTCAATGAAAATCATATCTTTAAAATAAACAAGGAGTCATTGTTTATCATTCCATCCACAGACATGGTATCATGGAATAAAAATGCACAAATACACCAATCTGGCTTGCATATGGCCACCCCTCACTGTGGCGTTTTGTCACCCTAGCCCCCCAAATGTAAAATTTCTAGCTATGCCCCTTGTGTGTGAGTGTGTGTGTGTGTGTGTGTGTGTGTGTGTGTGTGTGTGTGTGTGTGTGTGTGTGTGTGTGTGTGTGTGTGTGTGTGTGTGTGTTTGAGGGAGCGAGATACAGTGGCACTCAGCCTCTTGAGATAGTCTATTTAAAGCTTTCACACTTCATCCATCCACTACAATACATTTTAGAACTATTTTATCTAATGTCTTAGTGCTATCGATCACAGTTGCGACAGTGTGTCAGTCTGTGCGATCAGAAATTTGTGGCATTTATGACACTGAAAAAGAAACTAACTTATTTGACCCCTGTTACTTGAGTCACATCAAATGGAAATCGGTTCTCACTTTTATAGTATATAAAACAATAGCCCCTTCGGCAAATGTTCACTTCAGGATTACAACAACAGAATGGTAAGTGCTTCGGTTAAATTGGAAAATAAAAAAGAAGCTGACTGGACCAAAAATCAAGATGGCTGCCTCTGGGAAAACATCTGTTGCTTTTCAGCTCCTTTTCTTATGGACAAGGAACCCAACAAATATTTCATTGTAAAAAAGTATCAGATTGTTAGAAAAGAAAACCGTTTTTGAAACTACAGACTTAGACTTTAATGTACTTGTACTGCATGGAGGAAATGTGGAGTTTATGATAGAGTTCAGACAGCATCAGCTACAACTATAAAATGTTGCCAATGTAGACGAATGTGAACCATCCAGCAAGTTAATGTTAGGACACCCACCTACATTTTATAAATTGAATCAACATGTTGTTTTTGATATCCCTGTGCTAAAACATATTGCTCAATTTAACATAGCGGTATTTTTGAATTGCAGTCCCTCCATTTGATATATGTTTTGAAGTCTGTATTCTGCTCACATTTAGTCATGCTGTATAATTTTCCCATGCCCGTAGCATAACTTGGCGTTCTTGTAACAATCATCACCTAGAATTGGTGGCGACGCACAAACATTGGAATGCGCTCGTTGATACACGCTGAAAATCGGTTTAGGAGAAACGAAAATTACGACGTCACATCTTGAGTTTTGGTGCCGCCCTGCTGATGATATAAAAATGATGTGAATCTCTTCCTGCCTCGCACTCGTGACACGCAGCCATTGTCTGTCAACCGCGGGTGCCCGGAATATTCTGTTATTAAAAGCTTCGAAGAAACTGTTCATCGACTCCAACCTGTATTTGGATGACCAACATTCTCCTCGTCCGAAATTCAACGAACACGCAGGTTAAAGAAAGCCGCTTTCCCCCCAACAGTCTGTATCTTCTACTCCCTACTTTTACAAAGTAGACTTTTCCCTTTTTTCATCATCCATGGATGACAACACAAAGTAATAAAGAAGAGATAGAGAAAGTAAAGTCATCTGCAGTTGAGATCTTGATTAACTTATTGAGATTTTGGGCCGTTGGGTTGCAAAAAACAGACAGCAATGACATTGTAACTTGGAAGCATGAAAGCCGACAGCACCAGATTCAGGGAAGCGAGATGACCCCCATGCAGAGTGACATTTTTGACAAATTACACTGCTCTGCATCAGGAAATAAACAAGAATCACATTAATATTTTGTAGATCAGCATGAAGAAACTGTCCGTTATAGAGAAAACATGAAAACTGAGTAAATGTCCGTGAGCACCCTTTGATCAAGTTATAAAATGCGTCGTTATCTTCATTATTTATTCCAAGTAAATAAAAGTATGCTTCTACTCCCACCTACATTGCTTTAATATGCCTTATAATTGTACAAAAATCTAACTTTTGTGAGATTTTTTTTCTTGTTTTTTTTTATATCAAATTACAAAAAAACAAACAAAAAAAAAAAAAAACAGTCCCCCTGCAGGGGGACATTTTTTTTTTTTTTTTTAAAAAAAAATTAAAAAAAACAAAAAAAACAGTCCCCCTGCAGGGGGACTGTTTTTTTTGTTTTTTTTAATTTTTTTTTAAAAAAAAATTAAAAAAAACAAAAAAAACAGTCCCCCTGCAGGGGGACTGTTTTTTTTGTTTTTTTTTATATCAAATTACAAAAAAAAAAACAAAAAAAAACAGTCCCCCTGCAGGCGCACATGTCTTTTTTCGTCTGTTATGCAAAAATGATTCTCTGTGATTGCGTTAGAAACTCGTGTTGCTTGTTTGCTCGTGGTGTTAAAAATTCTCCTAATCGGAAAGAAATATGGATATAGGGTGTATTTTTTCCAATTGCAATCATCATCTTATTTATCATTTTTCATCATGTTGTTTTGTTTTTGCTCGTGCAACATATGTTGTCAGTTCAGAACTGGTTATGCTACCAGGTATGCTACCGGCTGAAAATTAGCATTAATGCTAAGTCCTGCCGCATTTACAGTTTATTCTTGTGTTTATAAATGTGCATTGTCCCAATTAAATAAATAAGCAAACAAACAAATAAATAAATAAAAATAAATTCATCATGTAATTGCCAGCCACCTGAGTATGTTACAAGTAAAAAATGATCAAACCACACACAAATATTTCAAATGTATGTAGACCAATGAAATTGTGGAAATAGTTTAAAATTGACTGTCAAAACGTTTTTGTTTTTCGTTAGAAATAACTTCCTTGCTGGTCGAATCAACAACGGCTTTTAAATTCTTCTTCAAACGCCGATCTAATCTATCCTTTGTATTTTTGAACGTAAACATGTCAAAATATAGGTCGCAGGTTAGTCGACCGAGTGCATGCCTGCAAACATGGAAGCAGTAATTAATCCATATATGGACAGGCACAACAACTGCCACGCCCGAAACAAGTCGTCATTTGCGGGCGAGTGGAACGTTCTCTGGGAGTCTAGCTGCCAGGAAGTTCAGGAACTCGGTCACCGCCCAATCCCCCCTCCGTATCAGCTATTGTTGGGAAACAAGTCCGCGACAGCGAAACCAGCTCTATCGAAACTTTAAAGGTAAGTATTTGCCGAGTCTCCTTGGACTTCTTCTAATTTTACTGTTTTGAAGGGGATCTGGTTGTGAACTGAGTTAGAGTAAGAAAGGGTTATCGTTTCCGCGAGGGCAGCGAAAGGAAGGAAAACTTTATAGAGGCGAAGCGGTGTCATCTCCTCCATCTTGAAACTTTCCGAACGAATTGTTAACGGGGAGTTGGAAAAGTGATTCTTTGAAGTCACTTGACGTCACAAAGTTGAAGTTGAAGTTAAAAGAATGGAATGCGAGAGAGCGAGAACGTTGAGAACCGTTTAGCTGGCATTTCAGTCGTGCACGGAACCTTTGAGCAGCGTTTGTTTTGTCAACTAGCATTAGCTTTAGCAAGGTGTCGGCTTTGTCAAAGTGCGCTAGCAGGTAAGCGTAAAGGGCGAGAGTGACACACTAACCTGTAATACTTAAAACTACGATCTTAATCGCGTGGTTTAGTTCCACGTTATAATTAAAACAGTGATTCCAAACAAGTGCTGTTTTGCTTTCGTTTGAAATGGCCACACAGGTGCAAGTTGCGCTAATTGTTAGCGCATTTGCTGACCAGTTGTTTGACTCACACGTTGCTCACTAATTTGAGCAACTTTTTAGCCGTTTGTGTCGATGTGTTAAGTGACGGTGAACAGAAATTATCGTTGGTGTTGCTCATGTCGCGTCAGTAAAGTTCCCCCCGGCCCTCCTGACATTCTGCTCATCAACAACACTGCAGCAGAACTACTCATTGGTCTAACCAATTACACTTTTTTAAAACTATATCAAAAAAGAGAATATTTCAGGATAGAGATTTCGAATACAAATGAAATGAGTCCTGATGTATTACGTAGCCTTGACAATCTTGTAAAACTCAAACATATCTGTAGTTGAGATATTTTAATGGATTTTGTGTCAAAACCAATTATGTCAGACATCTTTTAAACTAGTCATATATTGATACAGTATTATCAAGTACTATGCTATATATATATATAACATGTATTCTTTGGCATTTGACTCAGCATGACTTAGATTTGTTCTTGGTTTTTGGTGCTTTCTACCGTCTTTATTACGATTTGCTTTACTGTTTGTTGTATATGTTGAATTGCTCCATGTACAGCACTTTGTATGCAGCGATGGCTGTTGGAAAGTGCTCTATAAATACAGTTGAGTTGAGTATGCAAAAAATGTGATGGTTAAACTGGCTATTTTCAGATTTTTTGAGTTGTCTCATTCTGACCACTGCAGGAGCAAACCAATCGTCAACTTAGTCTTAACAAAAAGACAAGAATAAGGCCAAACAAAAAAGATAGCGTGTTTCCGGTAACATGAAATTTCAGCATTGGGTCGGTAGGTCGGACAAAGTTTTTTTTTTTTTTTAATCTTTTTTTTTTTCCATCAAAAATTTAAACTAAATAACCATAAAACATAAAACAAGAAGACATTGAACCCGCCGCTCTGCGGCTGGCGCTGCCGCCACCTATTTAGTTTTCTCCCCGCTCCGGACACGGGGGGCCGGGGCGCGCCGCCGCCTCCGCTGCTGTCCTCCTCCGCCCTCGGTTTTTACTCGGCCCGTGGTGTTCATCAAATAGTTCGCAGAATTTTTTCGATACATCAATGGATGCTATTTTCTTAACGTTACGATGCGAGCATGCAACTGTAACACAGAAAATGCGGTTTAAACTGTCGTCGGAGATCGCGGCCGCCGCCATGTTTCAATGTTGTTGACAGACGACAGGGCAAACGACGCACGCGCTCAACGTGAATATCGCAGGAGTTTGCACCGATGTAAACCCTCTACACAAAAATGTAGAGGGTTGTTTGAAAAAAATGCCGACCGTAAAGTTTTTTTTCGACGTAGAAATTCTCGGTCGGTCGGTTTACCGGAAACACACTACTTTTTTTTGTACGCCTAATAATGGTTCAGCATGTCAAAACCTACCTTTCAATTGTGTTGAAATCCGTAACCTAGAAATATTTTGACCGTCGTCAGAACCACAGAAAATGTCTAACAAATTGAAAACAACCAGGTACTACCAATTGATCTAAACATTGATTGCAGTTGCAGGTTGCTTACTCCTTTTTGAGGTTTCAGCTTTTATTCACTGTTATAAACCAAAAATGTGAGTAAAAATTTAATAAGTAACACTCATACATAACTGGAGGCAATGATTATTATACACATTTCCTTCAAAGCTTTTTTTTCAAGCTATTGGTGAGCAATTTTTATGTCCCTGCTACTTTACCAACATTTCCCTGACTGTTCTGCCTATTTTGTCTGATACAATGCAGTAAATGACTTTTTCTGACATTTTATGCCCTTCACAAATTTAAGCTTTTGGTCAACATTTTGAAAATCGCTTCCCTGCACACACATTTTGAGTGGTGGTAAGACGGGTTTGAAATCTGTTTCATCGTAGTGTTCTTTGTTCTTAGACTTCCAGACATGACAAGCATAAACACTGCGAACATCAATTTCAAATGGGACCCGAAGAGTCTGGAGATCAGGACTCTGGCAGTGGAGAGGCTGCTCGAGCCCTTGGTCACACAGGTAATGATAGTGTCATCGTGCGTCGTATTGTTTCCCATTCAAAGATAAATGCCACCTAGTTGAAAGTAATCTCAATAGATTACTAAATCCAGTACACCGGGATATATTATATCTGCATCTAATATTGTAATCGGTAAAATATTGCATTTTATACACGGTATTCCTTTTCTTGTCCCTTTTAGTCAGCTAGTCTTCATTCTGAGCCATATACAGTGGATATACGTCTACATACACCTGTTCAGATTTTGTGGTGTGTGTGTGTGTGTGTGTGTGTGTGTGTGTAAATCATTTTAAATATGTTTCACAGATTAATGTCACCCTATAACCTGTCAAACTGAGTTGAAAAAGAGAGGGGAATTAAAAAAACAAACAGAAAATTAGGTTGCAGGCCTGCAATAATTATTGGAATAACTCAAATAATTCATTTACAAATTAAAATCTCTGCCTCAAAGCTTCGTAGTGGTCCTTCTTCCACACAGACTAATGTTACTGTGGACTGGAGTTGAAATAAGTTAGTGTGATGTTACACAGGCAGGAAGAAAAGAGCACACAAAAGACGGAATGTCCAAAGTTTGCAATCATTTCGCACCAAAATATTGATATAAAGTGCAGTGTCTACTGCAAAGCAGAAGTGGTTTGCACAACAGCCCTTGTGTGATTGCCCACACAAGGCAACGTAAACATCCTTAGCTAATTTAATTTCGCGCCACTGATGGGTAGAACTTATTGTAGTGCCCTGCAGGTGGTTAAGGAGAGACACAGCCGCTGATACAATTTCAATTGCTTAATTGAGCAAACATTAACACCATAAACTCTTCACACTTTCACTTTTCTAATTGAAAAAACAGTAACACCATAAACACAAATAAGTGTATTCATTAACTAGCTGAGTGGCCACAACTGATGCCCAGGGACTGAATGCTCAGACTGGCTAATGGTAAGCTTAGTTAACAGGCAGCTGCTGATCTCACAGAAGGCATCTCTGCGCTCTCATTTTCTGCCGCCCACATCACTCACCAGGCCAGATCCTGTGATGGACGCTGGCTTCACAATTGAGGAGATGTAGTAAATGGCCAGTTGGTAAATGATGAGGAGAAGATGAAGTCAAGTCAAGTCGTGTCTCTTTTCCTCTCCACACCTGCCTATTAAAGCCACACACATTGGAAGTCACTGATATGACAGTAGTAAGTGAGGATGGCAACCCCAATTGGGCAATAAATTATGCCTACACCTTACATTCATATTTTGTATTGGTATTGTTGTTTAACAACACATAAATTGATTAAAAAAATAAATCTATGAATAATCAAATCTAAAAATATTTTATCGTGCGACCCGAAGGTAATTGCAGAAGTGTTGACTTTCATGTCTAACTGGGAATGGCTTTGTTAAGAATTAATCACATTTAACTAATTATAAATCAATCAATAAACCAGCGGCTAGCTGGACACTCAGTAGATAAACAACCAGTGGGCTGAATTGCTTGGTCGTCTCCTTTCACCTTGCTCCATGAGTGTTTGTGCCAGCTGGCAGTGTTCTTCTGTTATGAGGAGTAGAGCTAGTGTGGAAAACAAGCAAGTGCCCCTTCGCTTAAAGACATTCAAAGCATTTGTAATTGCTGAGGCAGCAGTTAACTCTCCGTTATATGTTGCCAAATAACAGTTTTTATTAAATATTGCATAAAGGACAAAGGAAAAAAAAGCAAAGCACGGAATGTGATGCTTTTTGAACTAAGGTCTCAGGTGAAAAGTGGTGGTTCTGAAGTTGACTAATTTGTGGTTGACTTCCAGATTGTCCGACTTTAGGGGCATTTGCCTTCAGAGGTTGCATCAGATAATATTAAAAGCTTCAATAATTTAAAATGAAGACCAATGATGATGACGGCTTGAATATATGTTACTGGTACAACTAGTAAGCAAATCAGTTTTCTTTAGCGAAACGGTAACATTTCTTTTCTTACCCTGCGGTATACCTACCATAGGTCACCACTCTGGTAAACTCAAGTAACAAAGGCCCCTCTAACAAGAAGAAGGGACGCTCCAAGAAGGCACATGTCCTGGCAGCTTCAGTGGAGACCGCCACCCAGAACTTCCTGGAAAAAGGAGAGAAGATTGCAAAGGAGAGTCAGTTTCTTAAGGATGAGCTGACTGCTGCAGTAGAGGATGTCCGCAAGCAAGGTAATACTTGACCGTACGGTCTGCCCTCTGGTCTTGACATGCTTCTCCTATGTGTATATTCAATTAATCAGAAGGTGATTTACATAACACGGTACTTCATAGGCCCTTGCGAAATGCAAGAGACAGCTCCACTGTTCACACCTTGGTAGACACTTGGCACTGTATTGTTTGTATGACCCCGGTGTTGTGAAATGATGGGCTGAACCTGATTTGGAGTATTCAGGTCACTATTTCAACAGCGTCTCAGTTAAGCAGCCATGTTTTTTGTCTGTGGCAATTGTGGATTGTCGCTATGAGCAAATGCGTTACAGTGCAGTTGCCACCGTCGTTGCAATTTTGAAATTGAAATCACATGACACCTGAGTTGTCCATGTGATGACAGTTGGTGGGTGAGCCAAAAAAAAAAACAAAGAAGGCCACCATCGCATCTATCTATCCATCCATCCATTTTCCGATCCGCTTATCCTCACAAGTGTCGCAGGGGTGCTGGAGCCTGTCCCAGCTGTCTTCATGCAGTAGGCGGGGGACACCCTGAACCGGTTGCCAGCCAATCGCAGGGCACACACAGACGAACAACCATCCGCACTCACACCGTGGGACAATTTTGAGTGTTCAATCAGCCTGCCATGGAATGTGGGAGTAAACTGGAGTACCCGGAGAAAACCCACGCAGGCTTATGGAGAACATGCAAACTCCACACAGGAAGGCCGCAGCTGGAATTGAACACTGTACCTCTGCACTGTGAGGTCGACGCGCTGACCACTCGGGCCGCCACCATTGCATCTATTTGTACAATATTAGCTTTCAGTTAGAAAGCCAGATTTATGGGAATGGCAATGCCTCTGTTTCCCAACTACAATCTGTTAACAAACATAAATATCCAATTGCCTTTTATACATAAGTAGGAATGAGCCTTTGTTTACATTTTGGTTGGTAATCGGTGAAATTAAAGCTCAGTGACGATAAGCAATAATTATAATGGGATGGATGAATCAGATTTTTCTGTTGTTCTGCTGTTTCTCTGTCATTGTCGTATCAAACATAATGCTGCCTTTTTGTCTGCCGAAATATTACTCACCATTTTATTGACGGGACGTTGCAAGTATTGTAATGGTGCCCGCCATCTTGAAAACGTGATTCGGATGCGTTTGGCCACCTGAAATTCTGCCTGAGGCGCAAAGCTCATACAGTGTGCAGTGAGTTTTTCACCTCACAAGGTGAAAAACAACAAAACATCTTAGATATTCGTCTTTAGGCCTTGTGAGACAGAGAACAAACTGAAAATTACACGCAACACAGCAGGCTGTATGCTGAGCAGACAGCCTCAAATGACTCTTTACTCAGCAGATATCTTGAGTGTGCAGAAGACTTGAGTGAAGTTATGCCATCGTAAAGGTTTGTGGAGAAGAATTCTTGTTCTTCCTCAGCCCACAAACTATCTCAGGTTGAATCAAAAGCAACCTTGTTATTCAAAACATTGTTTACAGTAGTCTTAGCAACTGAATACTTCTGGCCACCCCTACGAACAGGCTTGTTGTGAACATGTCTGTGGGTTTGCCATTAACATACGTAATACATTAACTTTTTCAACTAAAACGTTTACTTACCATTGATACTATGTCGAACAGCCATCTGGAAAACTGTTGGCAAGTATTGCAGAGTTGAGTTGATGTGTGAGTCAAGATTGCGACTTGGAATGTCGACATTTCTGGGCACCTTGGTCTCAACATGTTTGAGACGTACACTCCTCTCAGTGAATTTGCCAAATCTAATTGTCTCGACACACACACACACACACACACACACACACACACACACACACACACAGATTTTCAATTTATGTATGATTATTATTTTTATTATTTTTCTTTTCAAAAATACATTGTATGTCCCAGCACTAGCACTAATCTGCTTAATATTGTTTGGGAATAAGAATTACCGTAAATTCCGGATTACAAGCCGTGACTTTTTTTTCCACACATTCAACACTGCGGCATGTAATATGAAGCGGCTTTTTAATTTTTTTTTTCCCATCGCGGGAAAAACATGGACCAATAAAATGAATGAGTAGTTCACTGAGGTCCAATGAGATTGTATGACTAATCACAACTTCCACTCTTTTCGCCGTCGCGGGGAAATTTGTGTTACCCGGCAACAGTCGACCAATAAAATGAATGAGTGGTACACAGGGGTCCAATGAAATTATATGATTACCGGTAATCACAACTTCCTTATTTCAGTCTTTCTTCTAACCCTGATCGACATGGAGAATACCAGACGAAAAGCATATGATGCAGCTTTTAAACTAAAAGCGATCACTCTGGCAGTTAAAGAAGGAAATCGAGCTGCTGCCCGTAATCTTGGCATAGACGAGTCGATGGTGCGAAGGTGGAGGCTCCGGCAAGAAGAACTGAGCCAGTGTAAAAAGACAACCAAAGCTTTTAAAGGTTTTAAAGGTGGGCCGTCGTGGTGTTATAGATTCATGAAACGGAAAAGCCTGTCTATTAGGGCACGCACGACGTTGTGTCAGCAGCTCCCTCCCAATTACAAGGACAAACTTGCTTCGTTCCGCACATTCACACAAACAAAGATAGCGGGGAATTCCATCAACCCAGATGAAATAATAAATATGGACGAAGTCCCTCTGACATTTGATTTGCCTCTCACTCGGACTGTAAATAAAAAAGGTGACTGCATTATTCTATTTAAAATAGAGGTAAGATCGGGCCGCCCGACCCGAATGCAGTTAATGGGAGCGAATTGAATGGGAAAGTTGTCCTTTATAAAGCATATTGTGCTAGTTTAATTTAGATGCCCGTTAACATGGCAACTTATACAATCCAGACTTGAGCCCTGTTCACACGGCAAGATTTACTCCGACGCTGCACCGACTCTACGCCAGTGGAGCGTTCACACGTGCAAATTTACTTCGACGTAGCGCCGCTCAACAGCCTAGTGCGCATTAAATTTGATCCACCTCAGGGAGGTGGTTTAAAAATTTGCTCCGAAGCAAATGCTCGTTTGCGAAGCAGCACCGAAGCAAATGTGCGCGTGTGAACGCAACTGGCGTAAATTTGCTCCAGAGCAAATGCTCGCTTGCAGGGGAGTGGCCTCCGATCAAGAAGAGGATCGAGAAAGCAGTGACGTCAGCCGAGCCCGATTTGCAGGCCCGAGCCTGAAGCAAACCCGACATTTCATATTTTATTTGTGAGTATTTTGGGGAGAAAAAAACGCAAGATTTCTTACGGTTAAAATAATCTAGGTATTTTTATGAACATTATCAATGCATTTGCACAACGAAATAACGCTGAAATACAGAATAAGAGGCCAGACAAAGAGAAATCTCTATGTGCATTTGCTTAATTACGCAGAGAAATCCTGCGGCTTACTAGGCTTTAAATAGAATAATTCAAATGAAATAAATAAGTAAAGATATCTGAAATTATTTCTACAGGATTGTTTAACCGAAATTAACATACATGCGCACTGGTCTGGCTGGCTGCGCTCCTGTTTAGCAGTTAAATAGCAATTAAATTACAGCGCATTCTCTGTTTTATCCAAATTGTTTGTTTTAAAACAAGTATTCCTTAGTTTAGTATCCGCACATTGTTTTAGTATACATTTTTTAAAACATATATTGTGGCAGTCATCAGGAGCACACACGATTGACTGTAAACACGTCTTTATTCCACGACTGCCGACAAGTGGATCTATTCTGAACAAGGACAGAACAGTGTCCACCATAATATTTATTAAAAGAAAAATAAATAAAAGTCCGCGAGAGAGAAGCCCGACCCGAACCTGTTTTACTTCCGCATTCCTGTCGTTTTGGTCCGGAGCAGAAAGTGCACGTGTGACCGCAAGTTCGCTGCTTCGACGCTGCGCCGGAGTTGTCACGCTCAGCGGCTTTGCACGTGTGAACGCTCCACAAAATTTGCTCCGGTGTAAAATACATCGCAACAAAATATTTCGGAGCTGCGTCGGACCAAATGTGTGCCGTGTGAACAGGGCTTTAGATGTTTTGACCTGATGCGCGTTCCGTCTTCTATGTGCAGACTGACAGACGGCCACAGAGTTGGAGCGTCTTCTCTGTATGTATATTTGAAAAAATGGGTGCATTTCTCAACTCAACTGTATTTATAGAGCACTTTCAAACAGCCATCGCTGCATACAAAGTGCTGTATATGGAGCAATTTAACATATACAACAAACAGTAAAGCAAATCGGTAATAAAGACGGTAGAAAGCACCGAACAGCAAAACCAAGAACAAATCTAAGTCATGCTGAGTCAAATGCCAAAGAATACAAGTGAGTTTTGAGGCGGGTTTTGAAGATGGGCAGCGAGGAGGCTTGCCGAATGTTCAGTGGGAGGGCATTCCAGAGAGAGGGACCAGCAACAGAAAATGTTCGATCCCCTCTGAGCCTCAGTTTAGTTCTTGGTACTTCTAATAATGTCTGGTCCGCAGACCTGAGGCGCCGGGCAGGTGTGTAGGGGCGGATGAGCTCAGTGAATAGTAAAAAAAACGAAATAGCAGGAGCGTCGCCGAACACACTGGCGCGCTGTCCGCCATTTGCGAGTATCTTAGTCGCACAGTCGAGCCCTGTATGTACTTGTTTACGGCTGATAGCAATAGTTTGAGCAAAAGCCCTGCCACCTGATTGACTGGCGAAGTTTCTGCGTTTTATTTCCGTTGTCAGAGAAGGAGATGTAAACCTTTTATATTTAATGTTCATCACTGTTTTAAAATTTAAAACAATCTAATGCATTTTTGCCTTGGTGGGAGTCGTCTGTTTAGTAAATATACTAATTGTTTAAATAAATGTATCTCCATCTTCTGATCAAATTGTTAAAATATCTTTTTTTTTATGTAAATAAAATGCCCCACACACCAAAACTAATCACGTAAAGCCAAATTAAAGTTCTACCAGAGTAGTCATGCTCACAGATATTTTCTATTCCCAGGTGATTCAATGAGGCAGGCTTCTGGAGAATTTGCTGAGGACCCCTGCTCCTCTGTTAAGAGGGGCAATATGGTTCGTGCTGCCAGAGCCCTCTTGTCAGCAGTCACACATCTGTTGGTTCTGGCAGACATGTCTGATGTCTACAAACTTCTACTGCAGCTTAAACTGGTGAGCGAGACTCTATGACATACATTTCCCATTTGACCCATTATGGAGTGTGGAGTATGTATGAAAGCAGATAATTGGAGGATATTAAAGGATTAAAGGTTTTGTGGGCTGCCAGTGGAGCCAAATTTGATGAAATGCAGAGTTAGCAAAAACATCCCAATTTGTCACATTTTTTTACTCTATTTTGGGGATATCTGTTTTGTGGTCATTAATGATTATCACTGCAGTTGTATATTTGTGAGGAATGTTGAGCAAAAATCTAAAAATAATAGCGATTGTCGAGAAGGCATCATTTTAGAAGTACACAGCTCACCGAAATACTTGGTGTAATTTTCCACTGGGCAAGTACCTCAAAGTATTGTTGTGCTGATACCAAAATTTTGACTTCAGTTCTATACTGTACCAATAAACTGGTACTGAAACGGTTACCACATCGAAAACAAAACATCCGTGAAAAAACAGTGGAATAATAGCTCACACCAAAACAACTTCAAATTCTTTTTATTCGTCTTAATTCAAACAATTCCTTGAATGACACTAATTCCAATACTTATGCTAACATGAACAATGGAGTTTGAGGACACTCAAACAATTGGATGTAAAAACTTTGAACATTTTTAAACACTACTATTACATTTGCATATATCCAGTACTGTGCAAAAGTCTTATGGCACTGAAAGATTTTTTATTTAAGCCTTCGAGTAGTATAAAACGTCATAGAATTTTTAACATTTGACATCCCAACCACGAGATTAGAGGATGGAAGCTGAGAACAATTAGGTTTTGTAACATAATTATTTCACAAATTAAAAGTCATCATGACATCAGATGTCATTTTGAAAGAGTTTTTGAAGCATTGTTTGTCTTAACCTCAGGTGGAGGACAGCCTCGTGAAAGTGCGTAATGCAGGAACGGAACAAGATCTGGGGATCCAGTATAAGGCCTTGAAGCCCGAGGTTGACAAGCTGAACATCATGGCAGCCAAGAGACAACAGGTACTTGACAACCAGAATATATAGATAGACAGGGAGGGATTTATTTTATTTTTTTCACTGAATGGTCAGTGTTGCATATACCGTATTTCACTGTCATTTGCCTCATTATGACCATGTTGTTACTACTTAGGAAGAAAATAAATATAGGTCACCCAGAACAAACTGTTGAGGCTTGTTTTGCTTCTAATATTACAAGTGGATTTTCACCAGTAATTCTTCTTGTACTTGAAGTATTTTAACCCTGTCCCTCCATGTCTTCTCTGTTTCCTTGAATGCTTTCATTTAGGAGTTAAAGGATGCCCAACACAAGGACCAAATGGCTGCAGCCCGTGGTGTTCTCCAGAAGAACATCCCCATGCTGTACACAGCATCCCGTGCCTGCCTGCAGCATCCCGACGTTGCTGCCTACAAGGCCAATCGGGACCTGATCTACAAGCAACTGCAGCATGCAGTTTCTGGCATCTCCAATGCCGCTCAGGCCACTGCCACCGAAGATTCCGCACTTAATCAACCGGCTGGTGGTGGAGAGCTGGCATATGCCCTCAACAATTTTGACGTAAGTACAAGTGGTTGCAGAATGACAGCCTCTTTACTTGCCCCTTGTGACTTCTGTTGATTTGGCACATACGTTATGGTAGAGCTACGGTGTCTCTCCAAGTATGTGTCACATTGAATTGTAAACTTCTAAAATCAACCAAAGACTTTTGATAGATGTCTGTGTGCTGTGAAGTCTTCTCTAGTCACACCTAGTTTTATCTTTGATGTCAACTACTGTGAATTTGAGTAGAAAAGAGTTGCCATGTGTAACAAAGGCACCTTGTAAACAACAAAGTTCTAAGCTTTTGACACTATTTGAAACCTGCATCATATTCATAGTAGTCAATTTACTGACAATGGGGGGGGACCTGAACAGCAGGATAGAACGCTGAGCTAATCATCTTAATGTTGTGTGGTTGTGTGGCTGATAAATATTGCTAATTAAGCCATTAGTAGACATGATTTTGATTATAAAAGTTTTTTTTTTTTACTTACCATGTTTAGATAATGAGCTGGTTCTCACTGAATTCTCAAAATACATTTCCATTGCAAGTTATAACCTGTTATTCAGTCAGTTAGCTCTGAAACCGTTCACCTTCTTGATTGGCGCTTGCCTGTCACTTGCATACCCATGGCTGTATGACATACTGCTTCATTAAGCATAGCTTTGTAGGCGCCGAAGTGGTGTTCACTGGAAAGTAGTGTTACGAGTACATAAATAAACCTGTAAGTAAAATATGTGGTCATTTCAGAAAAACAATTTTACAATATGGAGGAGCCTTGGTTTGCTTATACCCTAGTTTTCATGCAGTTCGTTATTGGATGTTTTTTTTTAATGTTTTTTTCCCCCCCCCAAGATGGAAATGTCAGGTTTTGAGCAGTTTGACATGGCCTGTACTAAAATTATCTGCTTACCTCAATGACTCACCCACTTATACCTGGGAATTTAGCATCACCCAAAGCATTGCGTCAGCCACGCCCCGCGTTTTTCATGTGAAGCGATTTGAAAGGTTCCTGTACTTATTGAGTGTGATATTTCAAAACCATGGCGGCAAAGAAAGCTCCAAGGCCCTTTGCTAATGAAGATAAAAAACAAGAACTTGGACCAAAATGAGTACTCCTCAAAACAATAACTTCTCACCTCTTTGCCGTCTTTCATATGCCTTTAAGAATCTTCAATATACACTGCCTTCCAAGATTATTGGCATTCGCGGTGAAGATGTGCTTCAGCTTTTAATATATTCAGTTGTTTTCTAAATAAAATAGGACCAAAATAATTAAACAAACAAAACAACTTTATTTCAAGTGAATTTATTCAGTGGGGCGGGATCCCCAAAATGTGTGCCACAATTATTAGCACACCCGATTTATTTATTTTTTAATACTTTGTACAAACGTATTTTGCCAGCACAGCAGCACCAGATCTTATTTTAGTGTCTCACAAAATGGGAGTATACAGAAGGAAGGATCTTCAACCATGACTCTTTGCACAACCTCTACAAATCATAGAACAACCTGGGTCCTCATCTCTGAGTATCTTCTCAAGCTCACCCCACGGGTTTTCATGGGATTGAGGTCTGGGGACTGAGATTGCCATGGAAGGAACTTGATTCTGTGTCAGTTTCAGAGAAGCCACGGCGTTTCTGGGTGTGGTTGATTAATGGCTTTTGCTTTCTATAGTGGCGTTTTAGGTTGCACTTACGGATGTAGCACTGAATTATATTTACAGAAATTGATTTTCGTAATGCTGCGCGGTGGTCGACCGCTTAGCACATCTGCCTCTTAGTGTAGAGGAGTTTGATTCCAGGCCTCGGCCTTCTTTTGCGGAGTTAGCATGTTCTTCCCGTGTCTGCCGGGGTTTTCTCCAGTATTCTGGCTTCCTCTCACATTCAGAAACATGCATAGTAGGTTAATTGAACACTCTGTACTGCCCCTTGGTGTGATTGTGAGCGCAAATGGTTGTTTGTCTATGTGTGCCCTGCTGTGGGAAGCAGTGCAGGGTGCACCCTGCCTATTGCCCGAAGACAGCTGGCACAAGCCCGAGTATGCCTGCGATCCTTGTGAGGATAAGGTGGTTCGCATAATGGATGGATGGATGGATGTATTCTGTCTTGATTTATGTTGGAACACTACATCCCATCAAGGTCATTTATTCCTTCGGACATTGATCGCAACTGGATCACAACTGCTCATCACGAAGTATGTTTTTGTCACTTAGTCATGTAACTCTCCCTCAGAATATGAGGGGTCAAAAGTTTTAAAATGTATGTGCAAAGTAAAATTAGATGAGCCTGCCTCACATCATTAGAACTGCGCCCCCTAACACCCCATTTTTTGTCTCTGATGTGCTTGTTACCATGGCAATATGAAATAGAAATAGACGAGGTCATATTAGATGGAATGCAGGGGGCTGTGATTGCGGGTGCTGAATGAGCTGTTTTTTTTAGCATCTGAAAAATACACTTATTTTTTTAACTTTCAGAAACAAATCATTGTGGACCCTCTGGCGTTTAGTGAGGAGCGCTTTCGTCCATCTTTGGAGGAACGTCTTGAGAGCATTATCAGTGGTGCTGCCCTCATGGCCGACTCTTCATGCACTCGGGATGACCGCAGGGAGCGAATTGTGGCTGAATGCAATTCAGTGCGCCAGGCTCTTCAGGACCTGCTGTCTGAGTACATGGGCAATGTAAGTAATTTATTTTCTTTCACCACGTTTTTTTGTCATTCATATTCGACTGCAAATCTGTCATTATGCTAGTTGAATTTGGCAACCAACGTTTTAATTGGTTGCGTCAATAATTGGTGATTTATTATTATTATGGTTATATATTTATTTTTTAAATAATTCCTGTTGTCGTCAATTACCGGTACTTTGAATTCACTTCAATATTACACCCTCCACCGCATGGTTTTTTTGTTTTTGTTGTTCTTCAGTGCACCAAGTGAAAACACTGTAAATTCAGAGTACCGTATTTTCACGACCATTCGGCGCACCGTATTGTTGGGCGCAGTCTCAGTAACGGGTGCTATTTCTGTATTTGACACATACACAAAACGCACCGTATTAATGGGCGCAGCCAGGCATGGTAAAACATACGCCAGCTTAAACATACGGCATGCATGCATGCACGCACGCTAAAAACACATTAGCTTGAAGCATACGGTAGCATGCATGCACGCTAAAACATACCAGGTATGTTAGCTTAAAGCATACGGTAGCAGCTAAGACATACGGACACACGCTAAAAACACGTTTTAAAAAGGCAACGGAAGCAAAACTGAGTTCGGTTGTACTTTATTTAGCCATTTTACAATGTACTCACGCGACTGGTACCTGCTAGGGGCGTGCCTTTAGCGTCCGCTTACACACCCACCCTTCACTCATTGGCGACTGGTACCTGCTAGGGACGTGCCTTTAGCGTCCTCTTACACGCCCACCCTTCACTCATTGGTGGACTTCCGCATGCCTGTCGTCACTCACGTCCGCCTTTTCTCTTTATAAATAGCGTGTCGGCCAGAAGTGCTCTCAGTCAGGCTTTGGAACTCGGCGCATACAGTAGACGTTCCGCATTATAAGGCGTCCTGTCCATTTTGGAGAAAATTTAAGACTTTTAATGGCGCCTTATAGTCGTGAAAATACGGTAGGTGTTTGAAAGCCTTTTCACAATCACTTGAGAATTGGCATATCGGGAACATAATCCTATAGCATGGCACTATCAATCCTGTACCTTTTTTTCACAACACATAAGCACTGCTTTGTCCCGTAACGCAGCAGCCAATATTTCCCAGAATAACAATTACAGTCGGGCAGTGATTCTCAAGTTCTTAATTGACTTTTGTTCTTTCATTCTTTGCATGTTGTGTGTATCTGAAATGCACAGTAACTAAGCGTGTAATGTCAAACTTTCAGTATTAAGAGTTGGAGCCATTTAAAAGTCCATAATGATTTTCTTCTGTCTTGTACAGACAAAAGCATTGGGGATCGAAGCCATTTCTTGAACAGGAAGCGCAAAGTTCAGATGATGAGTGTCCAAAATCCCCTTTGCTAGAAATAACAGTCTAAACTGTTCTGGATTATGTCTAGAAGAGTTTGACGTTTGTTAATAAGAATTTTTGGGAGGTTGGTAATTCACTGATTTGTGAGGTCATTTGTGCCTACACCACAGGTGATGACTGGGGTAAACTTGAGGGATCTGTGTGGGCCAGTCAGCTCTGTTGTTCCCAAAACTCTAAACCATTGCGCAAGTACCGGTAAATGTAGAGTTTACGTGACTGATAGTGGCACAATAAATTGAGGAGCTCGCTGAGTCACTTTCACAAGCAAGGGAACCTTGAACATCCATAATCGAGTGAAGTGAACATAAGTGTCTCATTTTGATCGCTTGCCCCAAGGTGCAATAATGTGCTTTTCCATTCGCCACGCCACATCACTTTTTCCCCGATGGCTGGTTGCTGGGGCTACTGTTTGAAAGGCCGAGCAAGATGCGGTGGTGTTATTTTCCACCTGAAAGTATTAATTCTTTTAAGTACAAATCAAGCTACATTGTCTGGTGTGAAACGGTGCTTTTCAGTGGTGTCACCCCTATTTATTTTTCCCCCCCCCCCCCACACACACACACACACACACACTCTTTTTACATGCCAACATAGAAGAAGTCAGGTCCTCAAATGTTGGGGCATCAACACAATTTTCACCAACTCACAGGCGTCATCTTCAAATTTAACCTCTTTCTAGAGCAATTGTTGAATTTTGTCTCCGTGTGAAAAGTAAAAGTGTATGTTTTAAAGCAGCTGTCCCTAGATGCCTCTGAATGCATTTTGTATGTTTCATTGTTTCCCCATCTTTTTCCCCACCTGTTCTGCCACTCTGCTGTTCAAATACACCATTGGGACAAACGCTAAAATACCTTATTTCCCCTACAAAACCAAATGTGCTGGAATTATGATTCAAGAGCACGGTGAAGAGTAAAATCTCCCAGCATGCTCATCTATTTTCAAGCTGCCACTAATGTGAGTGGTTTGTGAAGTATAATTACCATATCACATCAGTGTATGTGGTTTTGGTGATATTGTTTGTTTCGTGAAATTGTATACATACATCTTAATTGTTTATGTAACGTGATCAACTCAGCCACTAATGGAGAGAGGCAGTATTGTCCTAGCAGTGCCACATAGTATGACCTGAATTGTAAAATACTGTCATGATAGTTTGACACGGAATAAGTTGAGCGTCACTGATTTATTAAAAAAAAAAAAATAATAATAATAATAAAATAAAATGGATCTCTCACTCTGTCTGTCAGGGTAGAGTTTGAATTGAATACAACTTTATTGTCAAATGGAATGTTAAATGGAACATTGCTTGCTTGATTGGAAGTGCTGATAATTTTGTTCAACCTTTATTGCACAAGCTTGGTCTCTGTGGCTTGAATGCACTTGTTCGTCTCAGTGGCGTGCTCTCTGTCTCTCTCTGTTTCGCTGTCTCTCGCTCTCTGTGTCTTGCTCTCTTTCTGTCTCTCTACCTCCCTTTCTACCTCATACTCAGTCTCTTCATTCTTCACCATTTTTTTCTTTCTGGTGTTAGTCATAATTGCAGTCATGTTTTATTGCAATTTATTTGATTTCCTCCTTCCAAATATTTTTAAGTAAATATTTTTTTTAAGTTACTTTTACAGCATTAGCTTACCAGTGTGCCAAAATGTTTAGATAATACAGCTCAAAAAGATGATTTTTCCTCTGTCCGAGCCATTCCACTTGTTGATCTACTTCTGGTTGTTGTCCTGAGACATCACCTATCTTCTGTTAAGTTTGACCTTCCTGAAGCATGTCTTGGTGAACTTGGTCATTCCTCAGGGTGGTCACTATCAGATATTTTTAGATTTGATTATTCTATCCAATATTCAATTGAATGGGTTCCCCCAGTAGCGACTATTTTATATACCGTATTTTCCGCACTAAAAGGCGCACCTAAAAGCCCTCCATTTTCTTAAAAGCTCACAGCGCTCCTTAAAATCCAATGCACCTCGTATATGGTTATTAAGACCCCAAATTGGCTCCTTGCTAGAGACATGCTAACAACACAGAGTTCAGACTTAAGGGTTACGCAGTTGAACACGGAAATAGAGCAGTGGCAAGAGAGTTCAATGTTAACGAGTCAATGTTATAACTTGCTGTTGGTTAAGTGAACTGTGTCGCTGCTCTATTAAATAGGTTTTACTGACATTTGATTGTTCTGTAGCAACGCCACTCAACAGCTAAGCTATCTTAGCTGTTGTCGTTTGTTCAAAGCTTCTTTGATCTGTGACGTGGGTTGCATTGGCACTGATTGGTTGAGCCACGTGCGCACGTACTCACGTGCTCGCGCACAGCAGAGAGCAACGGACGATGGACTGCTGAGGCACGCTTCACTCAAGTGGCGGCATTTCCTTGATCATACCTCCATCTACTGGATGCATTGTAGATTGCGTCTTATAGTGCGGTGCGTCCAATACATTAAAAAAATTACAAAATAAGCTATTCATTGAAGGTGCGCCTCATAATCAAATGCACCTTTTAGTGCGGAAAATACGGTATAAAGTCCTGACTTCAACCTCCAACCTGATTGAAATGCTGTGGCATGACCCCAAGAGAGCTATTCAGAACATATTTCAGGAATCTTGCTGAAATGCAGCAGTTTTATAAAGACAAATTTGTAAAATTAATTCTGATCATTGTGCATGTCTGTTATTCAAGCACAGTAAATGTTTGGTTGAGTTTATTGCTGCCAAAGGTTCAAGCAGGTATTAAATCCAAGGCTTCACCTTTTCATTTTTGCTCTGTGAATGTTTACATCTTATATACTCTGTAAAAAACATGAAAACATAATTAGTAGTTTAAGCGGTAATATGTAAGGCGTAGAAGAAAAAAAAGCGTGTTTCCGGTAACGCGACCGACCGAGAATTTCTACGTCGAAAAAAAACTTTACGGTCGGCATTTTTTTCAAACAACCCTCTACATTTTTGTGTAGAGGGTTTACATCGGTGCAAACTCTCGCGATATTCACATTGAGCGCGTGCGTCGTTTGCCGTGTCTTCTGTCAACAACATTGAAACATGGCGGCGGCCGCGATCTCCGACGACAGTTTAAACCGCGTTTTCTGTGTTACAGTCGCATGCTCGCACCGTAATGTTAAGAAAATAGCATCCATTGATGTATCGAAAAAAATAAAGCGAACTATTTGATGAACACCACGGGCCGAGTAAAAACCGAGGATGGCAGAGGCGGCAGCGCGCCCCGGCCCCCGAGTCCGGAGCGGGGAGAAAACTAAATAGGCGGCGGCGGCGCCGGCCGCGGAGCGGCGGGTTCAATGTCTTCTTGTTTTATGGTTATTTTGTTTAAATTTTTGATGGGGGCGGAGATTTAAAAAAAAAAAACTTTGTCCGACCTACCGACCCTATGCTGAAATTTCTTGTTACCGGAAACACACTTTTTTGTTTGGCCTAAGTAAGTGTACTGTGTAAAATGACATAAGCTTGTGTAATATGATTTATCAAGCCTGATTTTACAGCTTTCATCTGAGTCTCTGAAAGACAGGTGCAAACCAGCACGCAAAACGATGCCATCGTAGCACATTTAAAATGACAAGCTGTGTTCAGGGACACATGGCGACAGACAATAAAAGTCAAATAAACTTTATTCTCTGCCACA